TTGTGCATGATTTCTCTGATGTATCTCAGATTTGATTTGCCAGTATTTTATTGAGTATTTTTGCATCAATGTTCATGAGGGTTATTGATTTGTAGTTCTCTTTCTTAGTTGTGTCTTTGTGTCTTTGTGTGGCTTGGGTACCAAATTAATGAAGCCTTATAAAAGAGTTTGACAATTAACCTTCTGCTTCTATTGTGTGAAAAGTTTTGAGGAGTATTGGTATTAGCTGTTCTTTGAATTCCTGTTAGAATTATCCTTATGCACTGAAAACTTCTTGACCTAGAGCTTTTTTGGTTGGGAGACTTTTGCTACTATAAGAGGTTATAGGTCTATTTAAATTGTCTATCTGTAATTGATTTAATTTTGGTAAGTGATATCTATCTAGAAATTTGTCCATTGCCTTTGAATTTTCTAATTTTATGGAGTATGTGTTTTCAAAGTATGACCTGAAGAGTCTCTGGATTTGCTCAGTGTCTGATGTTATGTCCCCCTTTTTATTTCTGATTTCACTAATTTGCATATTCTCTCTCTGCTTTTTGGTTATTTTGGTTAAAGGTTTTCTATCTTGTTGATTTTCTCAAGTACTGATTTTTTTTTTTTTGTTTAGTTTTGTTTTCATAGTTTCTACTTTATTGATTTTAGCCCTCAAGTTTATTATTTCTTGGTGTCTACTCCTCTGGGGTGAGTTTGTTCTTTTTTGGTCTAGGACTTTCAGTTGTGCTATTAATTCTCTTATGTGATTATCCTTCAATTTCTTCATAGAGGCACTTAGTGCAATGAACTTTCCTCTTAGAACTGCTTTCAAGTGTCCTATAAGTTTGGGTATGTTGTTTCTTCACTCTCATTGAATTCTAGGAAATCATTATTTCTTTTGTTTATTTCTTCCTTGACACAGGAATGGTGCAATTGCTCATTGTTCAATTTCCATCATGAGTTTGTAGCATTCCTACAATTTTTTTTTTTTTTTGGTATCTGTTAAGAGGTTTTCTATGTTGCTGAGTAAGTGGTCAATTTTAGAGAATGTTGCATGTGGAGCTGAGAAGAAGTTATTTTCATTTGTGTGTGGATGGAATGTTCTATAGATGTCTGTTAAACCAAATTAAGACATAACTGCTGTTTGTTCTTTTGTTTCTTTGTGAAGTTTCTGTCTGGTCCAGTCTAGTGGTGATAGTGGGTTGTTGAAGTCTCCCACTATAAGTGTATGAGGTTTTATGTGAGATTTGAGTTTTAGTAATGTTTCTTTAAAGAAAGTGGATGCCTTTGTATTTGGGGCATAGATGTTTAGAATTGAGACTTTGTACTGATGTTATCTTCCTGTAATGAAAATGAAATGATCTTTTTCATCTCTTTGGATTGATTTTGGTTTGATGTCTAGGTTGTTAGATATTAGGATAGCTACACTTGTTTGTTTATTGTGTCTGTTTGATTGGAAGATCTTTTCCCAACACTTTACCCTGAGGTAATGTCTGTCTTTGAAGCTGAGATGTTTATTGCATGCAGCAGACAGATCTGTCCTGTCTTCATATCCATTCTGTTATTCTGTGACTTTTTAAAGGCAAGTTAAGACCAATAATATTGAGAAAAAGTAAGGGCCATTGATTGTTAATTCTTGTTTGCTTTGGATGTTGGTGGTGGTGGTATTGTGAGATTTGTCCTGCTTTTTCTTTCGGGTTCTGGTAAAGTGGGATTATCTATTGCCTATGTTTTGGTGAGTATAGTTAACTTTCTTGGGTTGGTGTTTTCCTTCAAGAACTTTCCATTGTGCTGTATTTGTGGATATGTATTTTGTAAATCTGATTTTGTCATGGGGTATCTTGTTTTCTCCATTTTTTTGTAATTGAGACTTATTCTGGGTATAGTAGTCTGGGCTGGCATCCCTAGACTCTTAGTGCTTGTTGAACATCTACTCAGATCCTTCTGGCTTTTGGAGTTTCCATTGAGAAGTCAGGTGTAATTTTGATAGGTATGCTTTATATGTTACCTAGCTTTTCCTTCCCTGCTCTTAATATTCTTTCTTTATTCTGTATGTTAGGTGTTTTGATTATTATGTGTTGAGGGGGTCTTTTTTTGGATCCAGTCTAATTGGTATTTGGTATGCTTCTTGTACTTTCATAGGCATGTCCTTCTTCAACTTGGGAAAGTTTTCCTCGATAATTTTGTTGAATATGTTTTCTGCACCTTTGAGCTGGGCTTCTTCACCTTCTTCTATGCCTATTATTCTTAGGTTTGGTCTTTTCATGGTGTCCCACATTTCCTGGATGTTTTGTGTTAAGGATTTTTTAGATTTAAGATTTTCTTTGGTCAGTGAATCTTTTTCCTCTAGTTTATCTATAGTGCCCAAGATTATCTCTTCAATCTATTGTATTCTGTTGGTTATGATTATATCTGTAGTTCCTGATCATTTACCTAGCTTTTCTATTTCCAACATTCTCTCAGTTTGTGTTTCCTTCATTGCCTCTATTTCAATTTCCAGGTCATGTACTGTTTGAATTGTTTCCTTCATCTTTTTTATTGTTTTTCTTTGGCTTTCCTTGCTTTGTTTAAGAGATTTGTTCATTCATTACATTTTTTTTTTGGGGGGGGGTTGGTCTTTTCCTCTCTTCCAATTTTATGTTTCTTTTTTCTTCTATTTCTTTAAGGGATTTTCTCATATCATCTTTGAGGGCCTCTATCATTTTCATTATGTTGTTTTTAGGTCATTTTCTTCTGCTTCATCTGCTTTGGTGTTTTTAGGACTAGTTGGTGCAGAGTCCCTAGATAACCTTGGTGTCATACTCATCTTCCTATTGTGAAGTGTTTTTTTACACTGCTGTCTTCCCATCCCTTCTTCCAGTGGGTACATGTGGACTGTCTCTCTCTCTCCCTCCCTTCCTCCCTCCTCCTCTTCCTCCTAGTCTCCTGGTGGGTGTAGGTGGGTCAGGAGTTTGGTGTCAGTAATTCTGGATGATCTTTGCTCTTGGAGGTCTCTTAAGCAGAGGCTGCAACAGGTCCAATGTTGTGAGTAGGGCAGGCTCCTTATGGTGCCAAGCAGAATGCTAAGGGGCCCAAGGGTCAGGTGAGGGCAAGCTCTAGATGGTGCTGCCTGGAAGGGCAGGTCCAGCATGCACAGAGCCAACCCAGGAAGTTCCCAGGAGAGTGTCGGGGTGTTGTACTTGAGCTCTAGCCTAGCACTCACCCTGAGCAGTAGGACCAGCATAGCCAAGGATGAGGGGAAGTCAGGCTGGAGATGGCCTGGCATACCAGAGCAGGTCCACTCAGGTCAATGGTGTAGAGATGTCAAGATGCAGAGCTGAACCAGGAAGTTCCAATGAAAGGGTGTGGGGGGATTCAGCCTGGTCTGGGTCCCAGACTCATCTCAAGCAGAAGACAGGTGAAGGAGCCCAAGGGTCGGGTGAGGGAAAGCTCCAGATACATTTTGGTGTTTTTGTTGTTGTTTTGCTTTGTTTTTTTTTGTTTGTTTGTTTGTTTGTTTTGTTTGTTTTTTTCAACTAGTAATGATTTGTTTTATCCTTCATCTATTGGCTATATAGTATCAGGTTCTTGGTTTCCCAAACAGTGTCTGGTGTGGTTTCCTTTTCATGGAGTGGACCTTGGCCAAGTCAGACACTGGCTTATTATTTTCACATACTTTATGCCACAGTTGCATAATATATTTTTGTGGCAGGACTGTTTGTAGGTTAAAAGACTCCTTTTTGTGGGACTGAATGTGTCTCTGCCTCTTATGTCTGCTCTTAGAAGGCTTTTCCTCATGTTGGTTTTCTTGTTCAGATTCTATATCATACTATTTGCTCCACCTTATTATAGTTTATTTTGTAATATTTGGATGTTATCTCTTGGAAACCAATTACATTCTATAGAGAGATATAAGGGAGTCTATCTGGAAGTAAGGGTGAGTAGGGAGAAACAGAATGAGGAAAAAATATAATGAGAGTTTATTGTATGAAAAAGATTCTATTTTCAATAAAAATTCAAATTAATGTAGGAAAATATTTTCAAAGTTTATGCTTCCTAATGTAATGTTTTACATGATACCATGAAAATAATATGATAACTTACTGAACCAGCATTTATTTTCTCATGATTTCTGAATTTCATTTGTAAATATTGTGGTTACTAGGACAACTTGACTCTTCATTTAGACTCAGGTTGTTATGGAAGAATGACTTCTGAAACAGCATAATTTCTAGGTTAGACAGCAAGGTGAATGTGGGTTTGTGTTTTAATTTTATTTTATTTATTTATTTTGCAAAGCAGTGGTTGTATATGCCTTTAATTTTAATTTCAGCACTTCAGAGACAGAGGCATTCAAGTCTCTGAGTTCAAAGCAATCCTGGTCTACAGTGTGAATTCCAGGATAGACAGTGCTATTTAGAGAAACTCTACCTCAAATACTACAACCAAAATTATTTTCATTGAAGTAGAATAACTTCAGTTTTCCCTGTCCTTTTCTCTACATTTAGCTTTTTCCAGATTCCCTCCTTCTCTCCCCTGCCATACTAAATACTCAAGTTGATAGCATCTTCTTTTTTAATGTATTTCTTACAAATATATATATATATATATATATATATTTGTATGTCCTGTAAATGCAAACTACTGGGGCCAAAAAAGACTGAATTAGTTTTGTGTAGATACTTCTTTATCCTATATAAAAACATACTCATGTACTCACCCACTGTAATTATTTATTATGGAACACAATTATAACACATAATTTATACTAAAAAGGTGACATTAGATGTTAACTAATAAAATGCAGACTAATGCAGTAATTAAATTACTAAACTACAAACAAAGAAATGTAGATGTAAACCAACATTATATATAAAGAACTGTCTGATAACAAAGCTTGATCTGGTCTAGGTCAATTTTAGAAATCTAACACAGTGTATATTTTACGTTTTCTCAGGATATTAATTACATATTTTATCATAAATTAGGTGATAAGTATCAGTAAATTGTTTTTGTAAACCATTGTCTACAAAAATTATTAGTAAAACTCAATGAGTACTTTCAATTTTAAAATGCATATTTCTGAACTGTTCAAAGGAATTCTTCTTGGGTCTTAACAAAATAATGAAGCACTTTGGAACAAAAATGCAAAAAAGCAGGCCTGCACTGGAGGCCAAGATACAGAAAACCTCCACAGCCACCATTGCCTTCCCCTTGGTGCTATGGTAGACAGGGAGGAATGTAATCCAAACACTACAGAACACAAACATGCTGAATGTGAGGAATTTAGCTTCATTGAATGTGTCAGGTAGATTTCTGGCAAGAAAAGCTACAGTGAAACTTCCCATGGCAATGAAGCCCAAGTATCCCAGAACACAATAGAATATAATAATTGAACCTTTGTTACAGATAATCAAAATGTATCCTTTTTCAATATACATATCAGCCTCAACAAATGGAGGAGAAATTCCAAGCCAGATCCCACATAGTATCAGTTGAATCATGGTGCAAATTGGAATGATGAAGTTAGGTGCCCCTGACACCAGAAGCTTCCTCATCCTTCTACCCGGAGTAGTAATCTTGAAGGCCAGTACTACTGTAACTGTTTTGGCCAAGACAGTAGAAGCAGCTACAGTGAATACTACTGCAAATATGGTCTGCTGCAAAATGCATGTGATTATATTGGGATGGCCAATGAAGAGCAAAGAACAAAGAAAGGAACAAATGAGGGAGATAAGTAGAACATAGCTGAGAGCCCGGTTATTGGCCTTGACTGTGGGAGTGTCCTTGTGCTTCAGAAAGACACCAAGTACAATAGCTGTGAGAACAGAGAAAAATAAAGCCAAACAGGCTAGAGACATTCCCAAAGGGTCTTCGTAACTCAGGAATGTCACAACTTTTCTGAGACAGTGATTTCTTCCAAGGTTGGCATATTGATCATCTGAGCATTTCACACAGTGATTCATGTCTAATACAGGAAGCAATGTATCATTATGTTAAATATTTCTTGGTTATTCAAAAGACATAATATTTTAATATTTTAGAAATTCTTTGTCAAATTTGCTTTATCCATTGTTCTGGATGGAAAGTTAAATTTGAGTTTTGTTTAAGAATTAATAGCAATGTCAAATTCTATAATCTTCATGCATAATTATGCAAATATACAATTTATATTTATCATCCATATTTAAAACACCTTCATTTGCTTACTAGAATTGATTAGCCTGTCACAGTATATTCATGTGTCTATGACAAAATGTGTTAGTGGATATAAAAACATATTTATTTTTAATGTTTCTGTAGCCTATGAAATACAAGAACATAAAACAGCTGGTTTTCTTTTGTATTTTGGTCTGTCTATCAGCTACAAGACAGAGATCACATGCAAGTGTCCTTATGCAGGTCTTTTATATTGAATATAATGAATCTCATATATTACTTAAAAGCCTTCATCGGTAATGTTAGCAAAAACAGAGGCTTCATGAACCTTTTACCACCCAAAGTCTCTACATGTTATTATGAAGTTTTATTTAACACATGATATTTAGTAAGAACCAGTACCTACTAGTTTTACTAACTTCTCTAATACTGGAATTTCCATATTCTCAATAAAATGTTTTTATTGAGAAACAGCATGAAAGTGATGTTTTTCTATATTTAAAAACATAGATAAGACACATAAACGAAAGAGGGAAGAGTTTACTTCCTACAAATCTGGTAATTAATAATATCATATCTTCAACTGTTTTCAAATGAATGGATACAACAGATCATACTTGAAAATAATCATATTACTGTAATGAGTCTTTATATTCATGACTCTACATTCCTTATCAATTACTCATGTTCTCTCTTATTTTAATATGTGATGTTATCTAAACTGTTGGGCAACATTATTCATCTTTTTTAACTTTTCTATTCACTTTATAACTGTTAGTTATAAAATAGTTTTATCTTCAAATTTTTAAAATCCACATAAGCAGCTACCAAAATTTAAAATTATTGGTTCATTATTTTTTTATTCAAATATTCAAAAGTTAATATATTTAAAATATTAATTTAACAATATATTTTCTATTAAGTATTCCATGCAACTTCCCTCCCATATTATTCACTTTGTTTCCTGAAAAATGTGTTTAATATTTGACTAGAATTAATTTGTTTGTGAACACTTCATGAATCTCCACATTTATTATGTTAAAATTGTAAAAAGTGATTCATGTCTGGTCTGCTATTAAACAATAAATTTTCATATATGTATGTGTCATCACTTGCAAAGCATATACTTCCATCTTTTAGTTATCTATTATATTACCCATAAGTCCACTAACAAATATGTGAGCAATGTTGCAAATGAAAGTACAACCTAAAAATGACAGAATTTTCTACCATAAGATACACTGAAAAGCATATGCTTCTCAAGCAAGATGCAGTGTTTGATTGTATCTACAACTTATCACAAATCTCATAGGGTAAATGAAAATAAGGATGTGAACCTCCCAAGTCTTAAGCAAGATGAAATGTAGATGTATCATGTAAAAGTGAATTCCAAGCAAACAATAAATGTTATAGTGATGTTTTGCTCTAAAGTTTACAAAAGAAACTATTTTGTGAATAATTGCTACTCAATGATTCAATAGTATTTCAGGATGCTTCTTGTGTAATTTATAGAGAAGAATATGGATTTTTTAATTATATGATGAGATTTTTCTCATAAATTTACTTAAGACATCACTGAGATTCATGCAAAAATTACAGAAATTAATTAATCTGATGAAGCTTTTGCTATTCTATATAATTACCTGTCATGTTGGAAATTTCATTCTCTGGGCAAGGGGTACAATCAAAACAGCAGACTGCTTTCCCTGACTGAGGGGATTTTCTGAATCCTGGAGTGCATGGCATACTGCATATGGATGGTGAAATCTGAGAAAAATCGTAAAAGGAACTATAAAGAAAAATGTTTACATACTTGGGAATAGTTACAGTGACTATTGAATTAGAACACTGCATTCCTACAAAACATTATTTTACATAATACTGCAAATAAAAATGTACTATTTATTCATTTTATTATTACATATTAATGATGTATTGTGATTTTTTTGTAGTGAGAATGTATTATACATGTGTGTTTATACTATATAATGTATATCTATAGATACATATATAAAAGTATATATATATATGTATGAAAATTTATGCTACTGAAAAAATATATTGTCACATGAATATAGGATATGAGTTAGTGACTATATGTGAAATCCTCTAACTCGGATGCTCAAGTAAGTCTTGAGATTTTTAGTATTTATGGTGCATGTAGAGTTTTAGAATTATTTCCCACACCTGCCTGAGGTTTATATTCCATTCTATCATCTCTTCAGAAACATACAATTGTTGACCACGTGGCAAATGTTTGGAAAATTTGCCTATTTTCAGCATGAATCCAATATGTGGCAAAAACTCCATGATGTAGCCAATGTCATATTCCACATCCTGGTTTTCTTTCTGATTCATGTTTACTTCGTCTCCCACAGGGTTTATAAATTGTATGTTCTTCAGGAAATGGACCATCTGAAACATTTATTATTTTAGTTTTATTTCTTCCTATGTATCTAGAGCACCTATATAGAAATTAGATTGCCTCTAATTTTCATTATCCTATCAAGAAATGTGAGATAATATCTAGTGCTTCTACATTAGATGAAAAAAATCTACAAATGTGGAACAACTTTATGTTTTGGAAATACCACTTTCTCACTGATGTTAATTCTCTTACACTTGCACACCTGAATAATATTCCAATGGAGTTATTAGACATTATCCACTTAAGTCCTCTAAATGCTACCTCATAATCAGCTAAGATCTGAGGTCCTCTATATGTTAAAAATATGGAAGAATTATTTGCTTTCACTTAGTACCTATTTACTTAATTGTTCACAAATGTTTCAATCACTTAAAAAAGCAAGTCAGCTTTCTCAGGGCTTTCAGATATTCATGAGAATCACCACTTTGTGTTTCAGACATTTCAAATTTAAGATGTATATGGGGTAGAAACATTATGGGAAATGTTATTGGCTTAAATCATAAAAAATTTGTGTGTCACTGTTTCCTGGATTAGAGTCTATATCAATAATAGCATTCACATGATATTCAGTAAGAGGGTACAAAAATGATATGTTTGGTAGAAATGACCCTGGAATTTTTGGAAAATCATGTTTTCCATTAAGAAAATTATATTTATGATAATGAATTATCTTCATCAAAATATATATTACCTTCCAAGGATCAAATTCCATGATTTTCCCTGAATTTTTTGGCCATATATTTACTTCTTGCAACAACATCTTATGTAGTGCATGTGCCACAGCATGCACAGTATTGTAAAGAACATAACCTGTGCTACCCACTGATATTTCAAAACTGTGTTGGAATAACCAGTGAAATAGGGTTTCTGTTGAACAATTCTTCATATTCTCACAATGCAAAGATGACAAGGAACAATTAAAATATATCCAAGATAATGTTGAAAGGGAAATACAATTTGTGTACTTGGAAGGGATTGCTTTATTGATAAATGTTTTAAAACCAGATAATTCAGAATGGTGATTTAAAAATGTAAAGGTCCCGTAAAAGGAATTAAGAAGAAATCTGTCATTATGTGTGATCAAGTCCCACTGTAAGGTAGTGACCCAGATTCTCTGAAGGTTTGCTAATTTGTAGAGTCTAAGGTTGAGTTGTAGATGAGAGTCTTTGTCTCCATGAATGATAACAACCTTTGCTGATGACATTGTGATCTCATTATAATAGATGTTTGCATTTTTTTGGAATAATATTTTGTCCTCCACGATAATATGCACAAAGGCTAAGCACACACTGATTCTTCGCACCTCTTTTCTCAATTCCAGGAGAAATTCAAGTCCTAGGTCATCATCTGAAATGATCACTCCCACCCAGTTCCAGCTGAAATGGACCACGAAGGACACCATAGCCAAAGCCAGAGACGTGCCCTTAGGAGCCATCTGGTATAGATTTGGAAACTGTTCATGGCTGCTCAGGAGAGGATGGAATGGTCCATAGTAAAGCTGAATACCAAAGAATATAATCAATGCATTGAACAAAGTATATTTCATAATGATCAGTCTAAAACCAGTTGAACTCATTGGAAGTTAGGTGTATTGGGGCATGTGGATTTTCATCTAATTATTAAGTCATATGTAACTTATTGTGAATATGTATTAAAGCACAAATGAACTTACTTTTCTAGTAAAACACTTCAAATGTCTGCACTTCTTCAAGTCTATTTATGGTAAATTAGTTGTATGATCCTCTATATTGAGTATATATTCTTTGAATTATATGTATCAAATTAAGCATAAATCCATTTTTTTCTTTAAGTCTACATTGGTATGAAAACCAGAATGAAGGGAATGATTTTTTTTCATTAAAAAAAAAAAAAAAAAACAATCTATGCTACGTTACCTCTGGTCTGTTGATGATGTACAGAAGTGGTCCAAGCATAACAGATGATAGCCAGATTGGTCCTGTAAGAACGATTAAATATCTTCTCTGATTTAGACAGTAATAATTAGGAAGAAATTCACCTATTTTTGTGGATAGACTATTCTTTCTCCAATCATCCATTAGGCTGCATTCGACTTTTACTAGTAGAGAAATGTTGGGCAGAATATGTGGGTTCTTGTTGATATCTTCAAGGGCAAAATAAAGACACAAAATCAAGTGGATATTCTTGGTTGTCATTCTGAAAAGAAAACAAAGAGACCATTGAAACCAAAGAGACCCCTGCTAAAGAAAGACAAGTCCTGTTACTGTGCTGTATGAGAATGTAAGATAGCCTCAATCAAGTTATGTTAATTAAAAAGATTTTGAGGTAGAGCTCACTCATATGGGATACTTTGATTTTGAACTTTCATACAGTTTTATTCCTTTTGATGAGAAGCAGATCCTAGAAGATATTGAATTTGTTCATTTTTAATTTTAGAATTCTAATGCATAGTACATATGGAAAATAGGTAGATATTGTCTTTTACTTGGTTAGTGAGGCAGTTTTATACAGAAGCAGCAAGAGCCAACTCCATGACTCAGTTACAAATACAGGGAATGGGTAGCCAAATATATCTGTCTATATCCACAGCTCTGAAAAACTTTTAAATCCATAAGTAATGCAGACAGCATAATCATTTTTAATCTTTCTCTCTACTTTATGCACCCTTGTCTTCTTCCATTCATTTTGATGCTGTATAATGTTTGGTGATATACTTTTTATTATAACAGTGATGATGTATTAGAAGAACTGAGTCTTCTTTTTGACACGTGGTCGCTTTGATTATTTGATTATCCAATTCACTTTTATTCATTCATCTGAACATCTAATTCATGGCCCTAGATTTCTGATTTAAAATAAAACTGCATTGTTTTCTCATGATGGATTTTATTGCTGGATGGTCATATCTCCAGGTTATATTTGAATTTTCCAGTTAAAGCACTGTCATTAACTATGCTGGGAAATTAAAGTATTAAATTGAAAAGATTTTAGGGGTCCAAATAAAGTTTCATAATTTACACTTGTTTTTAAGGATTCAATGTTCAATTTCCTTGAACTCTTATTATACACTCATTTCATATTTAAAGGTATCAATATATAGTATTTGTGATTACTTAGTGGTATTCACATGACATCATTATTATTTCACATTTTTTAATATAATTAAGTTTTGGCTTTTCATTTTAACCTGTAGAAGAGCTGGAGTTTACTGGAGATTATTTCTTCTTCAACACACCAAAGAATGAATATGATGTGATATTATCGAATTTCAAGGTTCTGTTTATTTTCAAGAGCAAAATTTGTTTCTACCAATTTATTAAAACCAAAGAAAAATCCATTAATTTCAGAATTTCTATTGGTCCTCAACAATTTTATAATCTTCATTTTATATTTATATTTAGTTCCACTCATCAGTATTTTTGTAGGATTCTCTTGCTTTATTCAAAGTCATATATTTGCTATGCTGTGTAAACCCTATATCTATACAAGAAATAAATAAATAATCTAGACTCATATCCATAGAAAACATTGTCAAAATGGTCCAATAATGTACATTAATAAATTCTTAAAAACAAGAGTTTCATTTTTCAGTGGATAAACATGTACAAGGGTTTAAAGTAAGCTCAAATTATGATTGATGTTTTAAAAAAAGACCTGAAGGAGGGGAACAATTGTCATCAAAATACATTATATCAAACTGCTAACCAATTATCAAAACAAATGTACCTAATGCCATTAGCTTAAAAACATGACAGTTGTATGATGCTCACATTTGTGGAGTTTTAACTTGATATGAATACAGTTTGATTGGGAGAAAGCACTGGCCAAAAGTATTTACATCTTGTCTTTGATAAGAAAAAGAGAAAATATCAGAAAAAAATGTGATTCTGCAATACAAATAGAATAAACACACAACAAAAAAACATATCCCCATATCAAGGATGCCTCATAAAAACAGTGCCAACCTGAAGTTTGGCTCATCAGTATGCAAGAAGTTTAGTGACCTCAAATACAAGCTCTAGTAATTCTAGAAATATAAAGAAATCAAATGTATACAATAAACTACCCTTTCTTTCATGAATCATTGAAAGTATCTGTTTTAGTGAATAACTAAAGCCACAAAAAGGCCATTGCTTAGTCATTGGTTAAGTAAGTCATTACAGGAATGGGCACCTGTGAGTTCTGATTTGTTATAACACACACAAAGAAATGCTAACACAACTCAGATTTGTAATAACCTGGGCAGGAACTGGGTAGAACAACAATCCTTCTGAAGTACTGTGTTTATGAAAACTGTGAATGCACAATATTAATATAGCATATTAAATAAATTTTTCAAATCAAATTCAGAACTTATACCAGTTGTTTCATGTATATACTCTAACTTGTCACAATATTAATTTGTAATGTTCAACAAGGCCTGTGAAAACAAACTTTGATGAGGTTTATTGCATATCTACATAGACCACACTTAATTATGTTTATGAAAACATTAATCACAGGGACATTTATTTATAGACAAAATACAAATGCTTTTTCCAGTTGGTATGTAAGCTTTGAAAATGAAAGCCATAAAATAAAACAGAATGTTATAAAGTAACAGGTAATTATTAATCCTAAAAGTTAGAATGGTGGAAATGTTTTAAATTAAGTAGGTAGGGTTTAGGGTTCTCTACCCAAAACTTTAAATAGTATTAGTAAGTATTTAGGGATAATACAAAAATATTTCCAACAAGATATAATACACACACACACACATACATACATATATATATACATACATACATACATACATATATATATATTATCTGTATTATAGCTGTGTTTCAGAATTGAACATTTTTTTCCTTCATTATAAAATTAGATCTCAATTCATTTTCAAAACAGAAAATGTAGTCATTTTTCACTAACATTTTTCTACAACTTCATTTTCTGTCAATGATTATATTATGTTGTTAATAATGATAGAAGTATCTCAATACCAGTAAGAAAATGACCATACAGACTATATGTTGGCATAATATATATACAGAAATGATACAGGTTTTGCAAAATTCTTCTATGATATTTTATAAAATAAACATATTCTTAGAAGAGTTTTAAATTAAAAGCTCCAACTTTTGTTTTTATTTTTAATGTTTTTAAATATACATATTTATTATTTTTCTTATTTTACATATTGATCCCAGTTTCATTTCCCTCTATCCCTCCCATGCCCCTTGAATCCCCCTTCCATCCAAAAATGTACATTAACATATGGAAAAAAATCAAGGAAATGATTGATACCATACAGTCAGTTTTTACCTCTGTTGCCTTTATGACTACATGATTTGTTTCTTACCTTTAGAAGTATTCCATTGTTATTTAGAGAGATATACCATCAACAATGACCATAGCCATAAGCTGGTAAGACTTAACTATCAATAAAAATATGAATAGCAAATGTTTCTACTTCTACTCCCATAAAGTTTCTCTACAATTTCCAGAACACTGAACCTGTAAATTAGGTATATAACATATCATTGTTTAATTTGAGAAAAAAAATCTCATTAAAACTACTAAAGCCCCACAGATGTTGTTCATATGTTTTGATATTTTGAACACCTTGTTCATCTCTTCCATTTCACTGTGAAATGAGCTTTCTCTGTATAACATAAAAGTACCATTGTATAGTTTCATTCCTCTTTTTTCCTTCATCCCTGTGTTTATGTTCTACACCTAAAAACAGTTTCACTGTAAGTTTTAATTATTTTCTTAAACTTTTTGAAAAATTCTCTCACCTACTCCACATTCCAAGACTTCGTCCTCTGCTATGGATTTGCATTCATCCACATGCTATTAATAAATGAACATAACTTTAGTCTATAATGATAAAACATTACTTACAGGTAGTGCAATGACCATCTTCCACAGTGTTCATTTAACAGATATTTAGAGTGTTATTTGTAACAATTTGCTTAGCATCCAAGAGAAGAAATTGCCACAATTTCCCAAACCGATGATCAAAACCAGTACACATATTCACACAGTATATAAACACACACTCAATAATTAAGGAAAAAGGAACTGAGAAGAAAATGTGTAATAATTGCCAGAAAACAAAGTTCTGGAGAAGAAAATCATGAAAGCAAAATATGAAATTGATGGTGAAAAAAGTGATCAAATTTGTGAGTTTAATAGCACTCTTTCAAATGGTGGCGGGTGCTACAGGTAACAGCTTTGGTTCTAGCATTTTGGAAGTAAAATATGAAGTCACTGTTTATGGTAACATATACTCTTTTTACAGGTACACAAATTGTATGCTGAAATTATATAGATTGCTATTATACATGGGTAATTTATAAATTTAAAAACAAACAACTAACTGCATTGTCAATAAAAAAGGACATGTCTGTAATCTGATCAAATGAAACACTTAATGTAAAGAAAAAATTACCACTGTGAATGGCTTTTATGTTCTATACTTGATTTCAGTTGCAGGAGTCATTCAGCACTGTGATTATGAAATGGTGACTTAAACAACATTTGAATAAAGTGAAGTATTCTATTGAGAAATGTACCCATGAATCTGAGCATAAATACCATAAACCTCTCTTCATAGGGAAAGCACATTTGATCATGATGGAAGAAACACTAGCAGACCACAGACAGAAAACTTGACTCAACCTCAAGGAGAAGAACTGATGGCAATGCTTTTGGATTTTGTTTCTCAGAACTTCATTTTACAACATCTAGTGGTAATTGCCATTATTAAATACATTCCTCTAGGAGAAAGGTAGAAAATTATGACTTTAGAACGATGAATGAGGTAAATCATAAATCACCAGAAATAGAAAAAGAGTAAGTATAAAACAAAATAATATTTGTTATTTCCTACATAGTAAAGTATGGAAAAACAGACAGAAAACGTGAAGAATGATGGTTGGCCTATATATAGGACTTCTATATAGTTTTTTACATTGATAACCAGTCAAAAATAAATAAATTAAATGCACTTACTTCTTATCTAGAGTTCTATTGAAATCTTCATTCTTCATGTGACCATGCTTTGTGTAAATATAAAAAAAACAATCAATATCTTTATCATTAGCCCAGGATCCCATGTCTTTTTTTCTCACTAAGCACCTAGGACCAGCCAAACTGCAGAAGATGAAGGAAAGCCCCAGGACAAAGAAGAAAAGTGTAAAATTGAGCATTTTTATAATGTTACCAAGAGTGGAACCCTGGTAACGTTGTAACAAGCAGAGATAAACACAAAACTACTTTTCAAATGTGCCTGTACATACATGTGTGTCTCTTTTTATGGATGTAGTCACTTATGAGTGCATTTAGGTTTCCCAGTACTTTTCTTCTTAGCTTCTAGCTCTCTAGAGAAATCTTAAGCATTCTCAGTCCATGGGCTCTGTATCTGTGTTTTATGCCCAGGTGCAGGAAAACTTCAGTAATTATATTAAGGATCATCTTCCTTTCTACATTCCTGTGATTTCATTTCACATTTGTGTTTATGAAGGCCCCAGGCTAGATTACTCCTGAGGAAATTAAGTAATAAGCCAATTTCACAAAACTGCTTTTCTAATCAATGTGTAAAACATTTGCAGCCCATTGCAATAGATATTCCAAACCAAGTTTGATGTGGAATCATGAAACACAGAACATTCTAGACAGAACTTATTACAGACATACAGGTGTTAAGCCTGTGCATGGTTTTGATATGGGATGCATCATTACATATTTGGTTTGCAGACATCCACACAGTATGTACTTCCATATAACCCCCAAACACACACACACACACACACACACACACACACACACACACACAAACACACACACCCCACACTAGCACCACCATGGCCACCACCACTACTGAGTGGCTTCATTTAGCATAAACTCTCCCATAGTTGCAGTATTTAAATAGAGAACCTTTCATCTTCCTGAGATAAAAAAATACCCATTAGTACCTCAATATACAAGTAGAATCTAAGCTATATTTTAATTTTCTATTCACAATCTGTACCTCAGCTCAGTTTGATTGACAACTACTGATTGAACATCCTATGTCTGCAAAATTGGTTATCCTCATTATTTATTATTTTATTTTAATAGTGTGCTATCTATAATTGACTCCATAATTTTTGAGTAATTTCCATCTGACCAAAATAGTATAGAACTTTGTTTTATTTCTTTTCCTTATGGATTGATTGGCTGACTGACTGACTGAATGACTGACTGGCTAATTGATTGATTGGTACTTTTTTTGGTTTGTTTTATTTTTTCTTATTGAATACAACTCATTTTTCACAAAATGTATCTTGATTATGGTTTTCTATCATGAACTATTCCAATTTCCTTCACACCTACTCTTGCACCAGATCTGTCCCATTTCTATCTCTAACCAGGAAACAAATAGGCTTTGGTGGTAGCAATATAATAAAATATAAATTAATTAGATTAAAATAAAACTAACATGTAAAAATTAGATAAAATATACACACAGAATGAAAAGAGCTCAAGAAACGTTACATGATTCGGAGATCTACTTGTTCAAACACTTATATCATGGAAAACTATTAAACTGGCATCTATAATATTTATAAAAAGAAAATGTAGGATAAACAAAACACTGAGAAAAACATTTTATAATTAAAATAAAAGACATAGAGAAAATGTTGAAATTTCACCAAAAAAAAAAAAAAAAAAAAAAAAAAAAAAGTAAATTCCTAAGAAGACACTGTGACTGTGATAAGGAACTGCCAAGGATGATTAAGGACAATTTGTTGTTCATTTTCTTTTGGCCATATACTACTGGGCACTTAGTGTAACTACTGTAACACTAAGAGTACATTTCCCTCAGGTGAGACTCCATTTAAATTGCTTCTGACTTAGGGATGTGGGCATGTGTCTATAACTCCTTTCTGCTATAGGACTACATCTGTTACAGACCCACGAAAAATCAGTGCATACTTCCTCAGACTGAGTTCATGCATATGTGAATCAATCCTGTTGAGTTGGAGGGTTTTGTTCTTTTTAGTGTCCTCCGTTCTTTCTAGCTTTTTTATTTTTTTGTTCTGTACTGATGTAGAATTACATAAGCTTAGAAGGGAAGAATTTGGTAGAAACAACTAATATGGGGCCAAGTGTTCCAAGGTTTCTCAGTCTCTGCATAATACCTTGCTGTGAGACTCTGAGTAAGTTCGAATCTGCTGCAGGAGAAAGTTTTTCTGATGATTGCAGAGTGTGGTACAAATCTCTTATAAAGCAGATTATCATTAGGAATAATTTTATATTTATAGTTTTTCAACAGGTATATTGGGTGTCATCATGGTCCCTAGCTATTGAGCCTCAGGTTCTCTTGTCACCCAGGACTATTGTGCATGGGCTCCAGCAGAGGAAGTATGCTTTCAGTCATGACATTTGTGAGTTAATCCCTCAAGATCTGTTACACAATTGTGTTAGCATTTATTACAGGGAGGATAAGAGTATAGCTTTAATGGTTTGAGGGTTGTTGGTATTTACATTTCTCCTTTAATTGTTTGTAAAATACATGACAGTACTAAAGACTTTACTATGTAGGTGTGAGTTGTGTACATTTTGTCTTAAAAAAAAAAAAAGAGGTCTTTCTATCAATGCGTAAGAACAGCTTACAGCCTTGATGGCAGCCTGGTTGCTTTGGCACGTCTTTGGTCAACACCAATATTAGATATAACCTAATGTTGTGACAGGAAGCTTTATTTTGTGAACAAGTAATGTACAGTTGGGAATATGTCTACCCCATTATTGGACAACTTCACTTAGATCACTTTCATGCATGTATATAATTGAGGGAGCTCTGATTTTATTAGATTCTAATAAGAACTCTCAAATGGCTTCAAGTTTAGCTGTGTCTATATGTATTCTCTTTACCTAATCTTACTCTGTGCTTCCCCTCACTATTTTATCTACAAATTTCAGCTCTATTCCATTCATATCTAGCTATTCTATATCACTTTCATGCGAAAATATATGTGTTTCCTGTCACTGATAGCCTACCAAGCTTCTCTAAGTCTATGGAGTGTACCTCATTTATCATTGACTTCAAAACTAATAACCACATGTATGCTAATGCATAGAATGATTTGGTTTCATTCATTTACCTGTAATTTCATTATTTCATTGTGTTTTTATTCTAATGGCTGACTAGTAGTATCTTATGTAAATGTATATATTTTATTTATCCAAAAATTTCTTTATGAACATATAGGTTATTTCTAATTTCTGCATATTATAAACAGAGCATAATTTGAGTCAGCTCGTTGAGTCAGGCAATGAAACAGGGTTGTTGTAGTATGACAATACAACCTTTGGATATAACTCAAGAATGATATAACTGTGCCAGTGACCATGATGTCAGAGTAGCTGTAGCCAGCAATGGAGCTTATGGAATGTAGCCTAGAGGATAACAAAGATACTCTGAGTACATGCTGGAGATGGAAAGCCCCAGGAGGATTGTTAACCAAATGTCACTTGCTTGTTTGTGCTGTCCTGCTCCATTTCACATGGTGTGATCATTGTGTGAAAATATACTACTGTGTCTAGTACAATCTGTTTTTTTTTTTTAACTACACTTCTCACTGAACAAATTACTTGCTGACCACAGGCAAATTTTTTTATAGGAGAAATTATTATTTATTAGATCTATGACTTAATTGGACTTTCTGGTTACCCAAAAATACAGATATTATTAAAAGAGTAAAGATGATTAGGGAAATGATTTAGGCTACTCTGCCAGTTGCTCCATAAGATATACTAAGAGGCAAGATAGACCAAAACTTACCTTTACATTTGTTAGATGTTCAAATGGCAGAAGATGAAAACAAAGAAGTTATATTTATTATATACCCATAAATCCTGCATGTGGAGACACTGGCTGATGATTAAAGAAAATAATTATGTCCCTACAACCAAAAGTTGGCCTGAGTTCCTTGGTCATGTAACTTGCAGAATTAATAACAGGTTCTAGTACACCCTCAAAAAATAAAAAAATAAAAAAATGTAAAAGGGAAATGACCATGTTGTTTGTAGAGAAAACTACATTGTTGTCTAGAAAACGTAAAAGGAATTTTGTAGAAATCTACAATACTTAAACCACAAAAAGCTGCCTTCCAATACATAAGGAACTGGTGGAAATTTGGCTGACCAGTTAGCTATGGGTGAAGGTGTTATGATAGGAAAATTAATATAAGAAAAAAGGTTTAAATGCTCTTGGACTTCTAACAAAAATGTGTAATTTGCAATCTTTTTATATATTATTTGTTAATTTATATTGTACATATCGATCCCAAATCCCTCTCCATCCCTCTCTCATTTTCTCCCTCTTTCCATCTCTCCCACCCTCTCATGCCCACCAAATACCATCCCGTCACATACCCTCCCCACTCCACATGTATGTTAATACGCTGGAGGAGGGGTCATCTAAATCTGTCAAGTTATTTGCAATAGGGACTAGGCCTTCTCTCCTGTCTCCAGGTTAAGGGAGAATCCCTCCATGGGGGATGTGCCCCCAAAGTTCTTTTGTGCACCAGGAATACATCCTGGTACCACTGTCTGAGGTCGCTTAGACTACTCAGGCCTTCTAGCTGAGACCCATGTTCAGGGGTCTGACTCAGCCCCATGCTGGATTCCAGCTATCATTCTGGGGGCACATTAGCTCCTCTTTGTTCTGGTAGCTATCTCTATGTGTTTCTGCAGCCTAGTCATGTCCTCTCTCTCTGCATCTGTATTCCATTTGGGCTCAGTGTTCACTTGTGGGTGTCTGCTTCTGTTTCCATCAGCTACTAGATGAGAGCTCCATGATGGTGGATAAGTTAGTTGTCGATCTCATTAACAGGGAAGGTCATTTATGGTAGCCTTTCCACTGTTGCTCAAACTGTTAGTTGGGGACAGTCTGGTAGGTCTCTGGACATTATCTCCAGGTTCAGTTTTATCTTCAAACCTATAGTGGCTCCCTCTTTTATGGTCTCTCTCTGTCCCTGTCTCTCTCTCTGTCTCTCTGTCTCTCTCTTTCTCTCACTATCTCATTTATTTCTCCCCTGACTCAATCTTCCTAATCCCACATGCTATCCTCTCTTCCCCTTTTCTTTCTTCTAATTCCCTCTCCACTCACTTACCCTATCCTACAATAAATACGATCTGGAGATCTTGTCCCTTTCTCCTTCTGTGA